AAATACAAATAATAAAAGGAAAGAAATGGGTGTCATTCCTTTGCTATTATTATCTTATGTAAGGAATTTTGAAATATTGGAAAGGAAAAGCTGATACAAGGTTGATTCATAGAGTTTACTAGAAGGTGAAATTCCTAGATTTTGCTTTGGAGGCTTATATGTGATCAATAAAGGAGAATATTTGCAGCTCAGGGTTGAATTGAGGAGTCCTTGGTGTCTCTGAGCTTGGTTGTTTTCTTGCAAAGGTTCCATTACCCAAACTAGGGGACATTAACCCTAAGTAACAAACTAGGGTTGTACGTATAGATGTATATTTTTTCTTGTGAGAGAGGAAAAACATCGTGGATGGTGCAAAGCTATGTAGTTGTGGTTTATTCCTTAAACGATGAGTAAGAGATCTGAAGGCTTAGTCAACAGGATTGGGAGCATCAAAGAAGGAAGCCAACATGAAATTATCGAGATGTATAGCAAGCAGCTACAAAGCAGCATTGTTCTGGCTGAAAGAGAAAAACAAAAGAGATGCAAGGCAGAGAATCAAAAAATAGCCAAGGCCTTGAGCCAACTCCCTGCTTGGAAATATTTACATATTTGGAGCTATTTATAATGAGCTTCCTTACTTCTTTTAGATTTAGAACAGGTGAAGAGATAGAACAGAGGTGGCTGTGAAAAGCCAAATTCTCATCTCATCTTCCTAAACTTGGTTTGCAAAAAAAAATAATAATCAAATTCATCAGGTCTCTGTTGAGTGTGTGCCTTGTCTGCATCTATCAGGGATGTCCTCGGGGTTGATTTAAAATAAATAAATAAATCCAGATGCAGCAGCCATGACGGTGGTGAGATCAAACCTTTGCCCGTGGTTGGCAACATCTGGCAAAGGTTGAAATGCCTTGTGTGATGACCCGGGGCGTGGCACAAAGGCAACACAGTCAGATATTCAGTAGGGGTCCCTTTATTAGCTCCAACTTGCCCCCAATGTCCTGGTTACCTTCTGGGCTGGAGAAAAACTCTCCCAGGGACAGCCTTTGGCTGCAGAGAATCATGGTCAAAACATGGTCAACACAAACTGTAACTATAAGTCCAATCAAGGCAAGATGAGATAATTAATCCAGTAGGGCAGGAGAAGGAATTCTAGATGTGAAGGAATGGTAGTTATTCAACACGGTTGGGAGGGTGCCAGGAAGGCAGATAACCAAAGCAAACACAAGATAAACTCACCTTTTTTCCCAGCAGATGCATCTCTTTTAAACTCTCTTCCCAGGTGTGGATAATGAAGGGAATCAGGGCCCTTTCCTCCCCTGTAAGCCATGCAACCCATGTTGCTCTCTTCTCTGTTCCTCCCTGCATGGCCTAGGATGAAGAGGGGGTGGGGCTGGGTCTTCCTCTGAACTCCCTCTCCCTTGTTCTACCTCTCCCCTGCTCTGCCCAGCCTGACTTTGCCCTTCTCCAGTTTCCTCCACAGCCAACGAAGCCACACTCCTGCTCCCTGACAGCTGTTCGGCTTCCTACGACAGGGGCATGACATCTTGTGGGTTTCATCTGAATAACAGAGATCATTAACTTTCACACATACCCATATTGCTATGCTTTTACAGGTAGTCCTCGACTTACAAGAGTTCATTTAGTGACCGTTCATAGTTACAACAGCACTGAAACAATTGACTTAATTTTGACCTTTTTTCAACACTTACAGCCATTGCAGCATTCCCCATGGTCACGATGCTTGGCAATTGGTTTGTACTTATGACGGTTGCGGTGTCCTGGGGGCAGTTATATGATTTGGTTTTGTTACCTCCTGACAGGGAGTGGGATTCACTTAACCACGGTGTGACTAAGTGAACAACTGCAGGGATTCACTTAAGGACCGGGGGCGAGTAAGGTTGTAAAATGCAGCAAAACTCACTTGACGGGTGTCTCACTTAGCAACCTAAATTTTGGGCTCATTTAGAATAGAATAGAATTCTTTATTGGTTAAGTGTGATTGTGACACAAAAGGAATTTGTCTTTGGTGCATAAGCTCTCAGTGTACATAAAGAAAAAATAAGATACATTCATCAAGAATCATAACGTACAACATTTAGTGATAGTCATAGGATACTAATAAGCAATCAAATCATACTAGGAAACAAATAAAACAATATAAATTGTAAAGATACAAGCAACACAGTTATAGTCGTAAGTGGGAAGAGATAGGTACTAGGAAGAAGAAGAAGAAGAAGAGTAGCAATACCGTCTTACTAAGTAGTTGGACAGTGTTGTGGGAATTACTTGTTTAGCAGAGTGATGGCGTTCGGGAAAAAACTGTCCTTGTGTCTAATTGTTCTGCTGTGCAGTGCTCTATAGTGTCGTTTTGAGGGTAGAAGTTGAGACAGTTTCTGTCCAGGATGTGAGGGGTCTGTAGATATTTGTGGTCGTAACTCAAGGACTACCTGTATTTATGGTTGATTTGTAAATCCAGCTAGGATTTTCAGGCTGGGTTTACAGGAAGAGGTAATACAGGAAATGCCTTCTTAATCAATACCTGGAAATTTTGATCGTGGTTAGAGATCACACAGTGAGCCTTCTCCACCGCCACCTCTGCATGCTTAGTCATTGAGCTTGGTTTGAGGTCATCCCTTGAAGATCTTGTTTACCTGACACTTCAGACTGGCAATTATATCTTCACCCACTGACATCACAAGGTGCTGCAGAGGCCTGCTTATAGCCCTCAATTACAACAGACAGAGGCCTGCCTTCCTCTGAGTAGCACATGAGCATACGTAGAGAGCTTCTAGATCAGATGTGATGCTGTTTCAACCAAACCCCAAAGATAGCCATCAACGTAGCATTTCTCAATTTAATCTCCTTAACTAATTGGAAGGAATGTTCTATGGCAGTATGTCTCAGCCTTGGCCAAGTTAAGCTGGGTGAAATTCAACTCCCAGAATTCCCCAGCCAGCATGCTTCTCCTCCACCCCCCCACCCCCCCAGTGGCACAGCAGATGCATTTGGAGCAAAAGTAAAGCTCAAGAAAGCAACCAAACTGAGCAAAATTCCATTGGAGATCTTGCAAGGTTTTATCCAATGTATTTCTTCAAAGAAAAGGGGAATATTTAACACTGGTGTTCTGCAGACATTCAGCGAAAGACCCTCAATGTCCATGGAGTGCCCTGCATTTGCTAAATGGATGACCCACCCACTGGGATTTGTAAAGTAGAGTTCAAGGATTAAAAATCTTAATCCATAATAATCTTAATCTAGATCACTGTTTCTCATCCTTGGCCTCATTAACCATGTGTGGACTTGAACTTCCATAATTCCCCAGCCACGTGCTTTAATAAGAGGTGTAGACTTCAGCTCCCAGAATTCCCCAGCCAGCGTGCTTTAAGATGTGTGAACTGACTCCAACTTCTAGAATTCTCTAGCCAGCATGCTCTAAGATATGTAGACTTCAACTCCCAGAATTTCCCAGCTACTCCTAAGAGTTGAAGTCCACACATCTTAAAACAACTATGAAATTGGTCTAACCTTCTGTTGTGGTTCACTGGCAGCCTGTGCAGATAGCAGCAGAATTGGACAGTGGGGAAGAACGGGGACCAGTCTGGGAATCTGGGGAGGACTCGGACGAGGGTCCTGCATCCGATGCAGAGATGGGGCCAGGACCATCTGGGAGTGGGGTGCTGCCTCTAGAGCCTCCGGAGGCTGGAAGTAGCTAGGCAGAGGAACTAGGGGAGCCTGTTTCCAGTGTGCATGTGCACAGAGCTGCTAGAAGGCAAGAGCAGTTGAGACAAAAGAGACGACTCGGGAGTAAGGCTTGGAGGTGCCCCTCCCCTAAGGAATAAAGGACAGGCAAAGGTAGAGAAACCTTTGCAGGAAGCAAAGTAATTCGCTCTGTTCGGATTAACCCTTGAAGCTCTGTGTGGACTTTGTACTTCAGTTAGGTTTTTATAATTCATTTGGCACTCTAGTTGTTGGCAACAATTCAAAGGAGATAAAGGTGGGTGCTTATCTCGAGGGACTGTTTGGGACTCATTACAGGCTGGGAATGAACAAAATTCCCAACACTGAAATAAAACAAGAGTTGCGTTTAATTACAATCTCAGGAAGTCAGTCTCAGAACACTTTCAGTCCCCGAAATATGGTGGAACTCTTTCCTGCAGAAATATTCATAGATTCTTCACCTTTTGGCCATTTATTAAAATATGGACAGACTGATAGAATAATTACATTTTCACAAAGATCGATTTAAACATCGGCGAATGAATGCCTGGGACTTAAATGAGTGATAATAATGTTTCTGCAGTTGTTCTACACCAATGTCCAACCCACTCATAACCATCTTTAATCTTAAAGAGTGGTTATTTGCAGAAGAATTTAAGCCACTGAGAAATAATTAGCTCCTTTTGGCATAAGCTACCTCGGTAAAAAGGTCATAAAATTGAATACGTCTCACTAATGGAAATTCTGGCCCCAATTTATGTCCTAAAGCAAGGACTGCTGGTATAAGTGAACTTTTTCTGTCCCTGGAAGAGAATGCCACTAAAGAAGAGAAAAGGGAAAAATCGGATTTGTTTTTTGATAAAACATCCTCAGAATTAACCCCATTTCCCACAGGCCAATATCCAGGCCACACAGCCTCCTATCTAAAGTCAGCCTCTTTCTCAATACAATGGCTGAAATATTTTGTCATCCCAATTAGCATCCTTGATATGCCAAGCCTGGTTTAAAAGGAGTTTATGATTAGCCACACCTTCAGGTTTTTATTTTTGTTGGTCTTTCTTTTCCAACTTAAAGAGAGCTTGAAGCCAGCTGTGAAGGTCAGTGGCATCTGGACCATCAAAAACCAAAATTGTACCTCTCCTTTCTTTCTTTCTTTCTTTCTTTCTTTCTTTCTTTCTTTCTTTCTT